TGGTTCTAGACCCCGCCCTGCTGAGCCGGGCCCTCGGGCTCGCCGCGCCCCTCCGTCGGTTATGTGAGCGCGGGCTCCGGAGGCTCAACCTGCGGAATGCGTCTCGGTCAGCTGGTTTCCCAATGACTGGTACTGATTCCCCGTGGAAATACCACGGGCGCCTGGATCAGGCGAGTGGATGAGAAAATGGAGAGACGCTCATTCCGACCTGCCTTGCTTTCCCAGTCATTTCTAGCCGCTCCCCCAAAACGGTAAAACCTCCGGGCATCGTGCTTATTTCAGACGTTCATTTCCAAACTGTTTTCTCTCCTCTTTACCTGAGCTAATCTGAAAGGATCTGCTGTCACAAACTACTGCCCCACCTGTGACCAATCCGATTAAAAACTACCCTCTTCAAGACAGATAACTACCTTTTCCCCATAATACACACCTGTTCTAATTCCCCGAAGCTGTCAAGTCTTTGAACTTGGGTCACCTGGTTATTTGATTGAACTCTCCAGATTCCTGTCACCTGCGCCTTACTGAGCCATTCCCCAGTGATGCCGGCTCACTCTTAACTCTTCATCCTGAGTCCCGCCATCATCCTCAAAGGCGTCTATTCAGTTTGAATTTGGACACTTACTGACTTTATTTCAGCATTGGTCACTTACAGACCACTTAAGCTTCGCTAAGTCATGCCAATACCTTGGCCCTTCGGTCACCTAACCTGTTCTGTATCCTAAATGCAAGCATACTATCCTGAACATCTTCACCTCTCCTCCTCTCTCTCTAATTATTTATACTGAGTAGTTTATTAACCTATATTTTTATCTATAAATTCCTAGTATATTTTGTTGCTTTTTTCCACTGAGTTCCATGTTTAATTCATCCCATCTTTTTTAAATTATATATGTAAGGCTTACACATTGCCTCACAGTGGAGCTGTGTTCTGTAGATAATGATGTGCAATGTTTTTAATTTGAGTTGGTTTTAGAAATGACATTTAAATTTCAAAATATTTGAGAGTGTCTTTTTCTGGTTTTTAATCTGGTTATAAATGTGGTCAGTACCACTCTATATTCTTTTTACTTATTGAGGAGTTTTTTTAGCCTAATAGCAGCTTTTGTAAACATTCCCGTCAATGCTTGAATATAATCTACATTCTATCTGGTTTCAATACCAGACTAAGCATATTATTTATATGCACTTCATTAGTAATTAATTTTAGTTTTTTTCTTTAAGGACTGAGAATTTGCCTTAATCTCCCATTTCATATGTGTCATTGTTGATTTCACCTCTTTACAGAGGGTTTTGCTATAAATATATTTCAGTTATGTTTTTCGGACATTTAATAAGTCATACTTCATTGTGAGTTGTATGTTCAGTCATGTAAAGTTTCCTCTAAGTATCTGGGCCTATAGTTCATTGTTTTGCTGGGACTCGTGATACCTCTTGGTCACTTTGAATCTTTCTTTCATTTTTTTAAATGTGCCTGGACTTTCCTAAGCTTTGGAGGTCTGTGTTGGATCTCAGGAGTCAGGAAATAACTTCTGTGCAGTTTTCACCAATCTGTGAGGTATACTAGTAAGTAGACATAAACATGTTTATATGATAATCTCTTGAGTGCTTTTTAAATGGATATTATATGGTTTCATCAATACAATGGAAAACATTGAGAAATTATATTCTGCTCATTTGCTTCTAGCTCTTTTTTAAAACCTTTTGAACCCCTTCACTCATTTCTCCCATTATCCCTCCCACTTCCTCGGGCAAACACCAGTCTGTTCTCTGAATGTGTGAGCTTGGTTTTATTGGTTTGGTTTGGTTTTTTGTTTTTAGATCCCACATATATGAGAAGTCATATGCTATTTGTCTGTCTCTACCTGACTTATTTCACTTAGCATAATGCCCTCGAGGTCCATCCATGTTGTCACAAATGGAAAGATTTCATTCTTTTTTATGGCTAATACTCCATTTTGTATATACACATTTTCTTCGTCCATTTACTTATTGATAGACACGTAGGTTGTGTCCATATCTTGGCTCGTATAAACAGTGCTGCAGTGAACATAAGGATGCATATATCTTTTTGAGTTAGTGTGTTCATTTTCTTCAGATAAATAGAAGTGGAGTTGCTAAATCATATGGTAGTTCTATTTTTAATTTTTTGAGGAACCTCCATACTCTTCCATAGTGGCTGCACCAATTTACATTCCCACCAACAGTACACAGGGGTTCTTTTTTCTTCACATTCTTACCAACATTTGTTTCCTCTTTTCTTTTTGATAATAGCTATTCTCACAGGTGTGAGGTCATATTTCTTGGTGGTTTAGATTTGCATTTCCATGATGATTACTGATGTTGAGCATCTTTTCATGTACCTGCTGGCCATCTGTATGTCTTTGGAAAGATAGCTATTAAGATCTTCTGCTCATTTAAAAAATCAGATTGTTTGGGGTTTTTTGCTGTTGAGTTGTATAGTTCTTGTATATTTTGGATATTAACCTGCTATCAGCTATGTGATTCACAAATATATTCACAAATCAGTGAATGAAGAATAAAAATCATATGATCATCTCAATAGATGCAGAAAAAGCACTTGACAAAATTCAATATACATTTGTGATTAACACTCTCAACAAAGCAGGTACTGAGTGCTTACTGTCCACCAAGAAGGGACATGAGTATTCTTGTAATCACTATAATTTAATCAGATAGGTATCATTATAGCCATGTTACAGTTGAGAAAACTCCAGCTTTTGTTAAATAATTTGTTCAGTTTCATACATATAACAACTTCAGCTGGGATTTAACCTCACAGGTATGACTCCAAAGTATGTGCTCCTAGTCACTATATATTGCCTATATCAGGGTTTTTTAATCTTGAAATTATTGATATTTGGAGCTGGATAAATTTTTGCTATAGAGGGCTGTCTATTGTGGGGTGTTTAGCAGCATTCTAGCCTCCTCCCAGTAGGTGCCAGTAAATAACCCCTAGTTGTGACAACCAAACTGTCTCCAGACATTGCCCTGGTGGCAAAATCACCCCGGAAAACCACTGGCCTAGAGACACATAATAAAAAAAGACCTTTGAATGGTAAATTGCATCCGGACTAGGAGTATTGTAAATTGGATAGAAAGCTGTATCTGGATTTCCCTGGACATAATGACTAGTAGAGTTGGGCAAACTCTTTGGGGAACCCTGGGTGCTGAACTCAAGAGTTTTTAGAAGAGATATTGGCTTCTGTTGATAGGCTTTTCAATCCAGATGCTTTCTGTACAACCTGTGTGAGCCTCTTGACTTAGGCTGTACTCTGGGAGGACCCCCACTGAAGAAAGATGCCAGTTACTCAGGCTGCTAACAAACTGTGTTTCCACTGAACAGTCTTGCGAATAAGCTGTTGCCAAATGCAACCCACGGTTGTCTCGCGGATCTGTTGAGCTAAGCCTAAGACCTCCCCGGGGGACGTTGCACACTGGCCCCTAGGGAGTCCCAACAAATGAAAAAATTAAATTTTTGTAGTTTGGAATGCATTTTTTTATTTAATCCCAACAATGAAATATCTCAGGGATAAATATGCTTTTATTTTTTAAATAATACCTTCTTACCCTAATTTCTAGTGCTAGTGCCAATTACACTCATTTTCTATAACTTTATTGGTATTTTAGTGGGAACCTAAGAAGTTTCTTAGGCATCTCTAGTATAAAACCTGAATATCCTGCCTGAAGATTTGTTTTGCTTAGTTGTAAAGCAAAAATGAGTTGTGACCTGGTAACTGCCATTAAATTATGAAGTTCGTTTTAATCAAAGGAATATTTCATTTATCACTTTTTTGTATGATGTTTATATTTCTTTCTCTGTCTTTTTGGGGTGGTTGGAAGGGACAGCATATTTTTCTGTTCTAAAGAAGGAAAACAAGAATGAAAGGAAAATACATTATATGCTCTTCTAAAGTAATTTTAAGAATATTATTTGTACTATTTTATCTTTTAACACTATGCTAATTCATGTTCATTATCTATAGGTCATATTTGTGTCTTTTTTCAGTCTCTCAGGTACCCGGATGTTGGCTTTGTATCTGAAACTCCTGGAACTCCTGGAAATTTTCTTTTAAGATATAACTTGGCTCAGATCACACCACATATATATAGTATACAGGTGTTTAGGCCAAGCCTAAGAATTACTAGACTCCTTTGATAATATAAATTTGAACAAAGTAAGACTTCCATCTAGGAAGATGCAGCTCCTGAACAAGCTGATGGCTATCTCAAAACCTCAAGATCTGACTCTGCATGAACAAAGTGAGGTCCGGAGAGCAGATGTGTCTTGGCAGCAGGAAACCACCCCAGTCAGGGAGACCTGTGACTCTGAGGCCTGTCGTCAAAAGTTCAGACATTTCCAGTACTTGGAAGTGTCTGGGCCTCATGAAGCCCTGAGCCAACTCTGGGAGCTTTGTCTTCAGTGGCTGAGACCAGAGGTTCATACAAAGAAGCAGATCCTAGAACTGTTGGTGCTGGAACAATTCCTGACTATTCTCCCTGAAGAGGTCAGGACTTGGGTGAATTTACAACATCCAAAGAACAGCAAAGAAGTGGTGACCCTCATAGAGGATGTGATTGACATGCTTCAAGGAGGTGAGACTATAGAAAACTGGTTGTAGAATAGTTGACCCTTATGTGGAATCCAAAGGCAAAAACAAAAATACTGAGCTCGTAGATTAAGAGAACAGATTGGTGGTTGCCAACGGCAGGGAGTAAGGAGTGGGTGAAATGGGTGAAGGGGGTTAAAAGGTACAAACTTCCAGTTATAAAATAAAGAAGTCATACCTAGGATCAAGGAGATCACTGTTCGATTCCTGGTTGGGGCACATGCCCAGGTTGCAGGCTCTATCCCCAGTTGGCGTGCAGGAGGCAGCCAATCAATGATGCCTCTTTCATCATTGATGTTTCTCTCTTTCTCTCCCTCTCCCTTCCTCTCTCTGAAATCAATAAAGATATATTTTTTAAAAATATGTTATAAAAGAAGTCATGGGGATGTAATGTACAGCCCGGTGGCATAGTTAACAATTCCATATTGTATATTTGAAAGTTACTAAGAGAGTAGATCTTAAAAATTCTCATCACAAGGAAAAAATTTAGTAACTCTGAATCATGATAGATGTTAACTAACCTTATCGTGGTGATCATTTTACAATATATACAAATATTGAATCATTATGTTGTATACCAGAAACTAATGTTGTATGTTAATGATGGCTCAATTAAAAAGAGAAAAACCTTTAAAAATAGTTGACCCTTCCCATAGGAAGAGAAATTATCTTTTTTTTTAAGCAAGAGGGTGTCAAGGGCAAGATCATGGAGAACTATATTGTATCACGAACCATGGATTATTCTGTAGGCAATAGAAATAGAATGAGATCTCATAGGTTGGGTAAGGGAATACAACAATTTCGTGTTTGTTTTAAAAATATTATGTGGGTATGTTTTGTCTGCAGTTGCTTTCATGCTATGACCAGAGTTGATTAGTTATAGCAGAGACTGTATTGCCAGCAAACCTAAAATATTTTTATCTGGATCTTTGCAAAAAGGCTTTTTTCAACTTCTTGTGTAAAGGATAGACCCGAGGGCTTTGAAAATAGGAAAACCAGCTAAAAGACTATATCAGATCCAGCTGGCGTGGCTTGGTTGAGTGTTGTCCTGTGCACCGAAAAGTTGCTGGTTCAATTCCTGATCAGGGCACTTTCCTTGATTTTGGATTCGATCCCTGGTAGGGGCATGTACAGAAGGCAACCAATCGTTTCTCTCTCACATCTATGTTTCTCTGCCTCTGTCTCTCCATCTCTCCCTTCCTCTTCCTAAGTATATCCTCTGCTGAGGATTAAAAAAAAAAAAAAAGACTAAGTCTGGTGTTATAGAATGAAGGGAGCTTTGGAAAAACGGGAGTTTGAACCTAAAGAATTTATTGACTACCTGATCAAAGTTTCAAGATACAAAACTAACACACAAAAATCAATTGTATTTCTGTACACTAGCAATGATCAATATGAAAATGAAATTAAGAAAACAATTTATTTACAAAAGCATAAAAGAGAATAAAATAGTTAACTATCAATTTAATTAAGGAGATGTAAGATTTGTCCACTGAAAACTATAAAACGTTTTTGAAAGAATTAAAGAAGACTTAAATAAATGGAGAGAGATCCTGTGTTTATGGATTAGTATTGTCAAAGTGATAATATTCCCCAAAGCAATCTACAGATTCAAATGCAATTTTTATCAAAATTCCAGCTACCTTTTTTGCAGATATTGATAAGCTGATCCCAAAATTTATATGGAATTACAAAAAACCCAAAATAGCCTTGATAAAGAACAAAGTTTGAGAATACACACTTCCTAATTTCACAACTTACTATAAAGCTAAAATAATCAAGGCCATGTGGTACTGGAATAGGATAGACAAAGACCAGTGGAATAGAATTGAGAGTTCAGAAATAAAGTCATACTTCAGTTGTCTATTGATTTTCAACAAGGGTAGTAAAGCCATCAAATAAAAGTTTTTAATAAATAGTACTGGAACAACTTGGTATTCACAGGCAAAAGATTGAAGTAGGACTCTATACCATATGCATATTTCTAAGAATGACAAAAATAAACAATGTTGTATTGACTGTCCTAGGGATTAAGGAACTGAGCTGATTGAGGTTGCACAGTGTTATAGGCCTGAATAAAGTTAAGAGTAATCTTTGGGCAGCATTCAAATAGTATGTTGCTGAGAAATTCGGATTTTTTTTTCTTCAAATTTTGCCTTTATTTACAAAAGGATTTCATAAAATATTTCCTACATTGTTCCTATTTCTTCTTATTTCACCCTGAATCAATGAAAATTTCCTCACAGGTCATTATTGGTTTATAGTCTGGCATTCGAGGATCATTGGTGTAACCAATGAACCTTGGGGTAACTTTAGGCCCCACCCTTTTGGATTCTGATTGTTGGTAGAGCCTGGGGCCATTATTTTCCAGAGTTCTTTAAAGCTGATTCCTATGAATAGCATGTTAAAATCACTGCTATAATCATTAAACTTTTCTCCAGGGCAGAGCTTGTTCTCCTAATGTCTTCCTTCCTCTTCTTCAGATGTACCCTGCAAGGATTCTGCCCTCCAGAAGGGGAGCATCGTGAAGGAGAACATGGAAGCTGACTCACTTACAGGAACATCCCAGGTGAATCAGGGTTCCGCTCTTAACTGAAGTGAGCTGCTTTTCTTCTCTTGACCTTTGAAATTTTGCCTTAGTTCTATCTAAGGACATGAGACTTGTTCTCCCACAGGACATGGGACCTATTTTAGTTGGTGATACACTTTTTGGAAAATATAATCTTTGTATATTCTGTGCATTTATTTCTTCAAGATTTAAATGATAATTGAAGGTATGAAAGTAGAGCCCATCCAGAGAATGTTCAGAATTACAAGTGAAGGGAGCCAAGAACAGAATCCTGAGCAATGTCACTAATCAACAGGAGAAGAAACCTCAGAGGATACTGAAACGAAAGGACCCAGGTGGTAGAGGAAAACCATGATTTTCATCGTTTAGATCTCCAAACACTGTCCTATCAATTTCTTGTATATCCTGGCCTCCTACTGTATTCTTTCCAAATTTATTTCTAGTAATATTTTTGGAGTGACCCTTGATTAAAAAGGAACTTAATGTTTTAGGAACCAGTGACATTCAAAGACGTGGTTGTGGAGTTCAGCGTGGAAGAGTGGGGGCAATTGGACCCTGCTGTAAAGAACCTGTACAGGGATGTGATGCTGGAGAACTATAGGAGCCTCCACTCTCTGCGTAAAGGTGGCTTCTGTGTGTTTACCTTATCTGCTCGTTAGGAATCTCTTCATCTGCTGTTAAAAACTGTAGGACTGCTGAAGTGATTAAGGGCATTTGGGTTTAGGTTCAGGTTTCCAAATATCCTTTGGGCACAACAGCAGATTTTCTTGCTCTACCTGGTTGAAAAGTCCTCTCTAACACGGAGTTAGAAATACACAGGTGCATGGTGACTCTGGCCTCATCTTTCAACAGCTCTGAGATGACTATGTTGGGATGGAATTCTTTTTCCTATAAAATTGTCTGGAGTGCCATGTATGTTTGTTTATTGTTGTTTTCATTTTCCCCATGAACAGAGCTGCTATTTTCCAAACCAGTTGAGGTCCCCAAGTTGGAGAGTAAGAAAAAAGGATGGATAATGGAGCGAGAAACCCCCAGAACAGCTGTGTTTGGTAAGAAGCAGGCAGATATGAAGCATTTGTGAAAAGCTTCTGCTGGTTAAACGTACATTGTACAACCCAGCCTTCGAGTTGATAGTTGGGGAGATGATGAAAAAACCACCTAAACTTTGAAGGAAAAAAGTCGTCATTGCTTTTCGTTCACAGATTCTGTTTCTTATGTGGACAAGCAAAATAGTGTTATGGGCTGAAAACATAGACACTTAACTTAAAGCAGACACTTATCTGCCAGTTTCCTGATATGTAATAGAGAGTGAGTAATAGTATCTGCCTTCACTTTACTGGGAGGGTTAAATGTGTAACATACTTAGAGCAGTATGTTGCCTGACAACCTGGTAAATGCTATGTAAACGAATGTTAGCCAACAAAGCATTAAATGGTATTCTTTCTTTTAAAGAAAACAGAAAACTTGGCTTTATACTAGAGTAGCTTCACTATTCTTCCATTTTCTTTCTTCTTTAACTATATAACTCTTTCACTTGTGCCTTAAATCCCTACCCTTATCATAATCTCTTTATTATTAACATTTTGTTTGTGAGAGAGTATAAGTTACTGTGGCTTAATATATAGTTTAGTAAGTATAGAAAAGTATGAACAGGAATATAACTCACTTCATTACCTCACTGCCCAGAGCTATGTAGTATTAACATTTGGTTTTTTTCCTTAAGCCATTTCTTTGTCTGTGATGATGTATTTCTGCGGCTTGTGACAATTTCTTTTTTTCCAAAATTGGGGTTATCAGGAATATGCCATTATATATATTCTGTTCTTCTCACCTAATATATCATGCACAATTGCCTATTTTACTAAATAGTCTAAGAAAATGTTGTTTCTAATTCACATATAACATTCCATCACATACATGTATCAATATATTCAACCATTCCTCCCTCCCATCACAGCTATTGGACATTTTGGTTATTGCCAATTTTTCAGGCATACCTGATAAACTCCATAGGATACCTTATTAGAAGAGGAACTTCAGCATCAAAGAAGCGGTGTGTGTGTGTGTGCGCACGCGCATATTTTAGGGAGATGTCCAAAGATGCACTTTATTAACAATTTTTTTCCAATTACATTTGACATCAATATTATTTTATATTATTTTCAGGTGTACAAGCATAGTGATTAGACATTTATATAATTTAAGAAGTGATACCCCGATATGTCTAGTACCCACCTGGCACCATACATAATTATTACAATATTATTGACTCTATTCCCCATGCTGTACTTTATATCCTTGTAACTATTTTGTGACTACTTACTGTACTTAATCCCTTCACCTTTTTCACCCAGCCCCCCAACCCCTCCCATCTGGCAACCATCAGTTTATTTCCTGTCTCTATGAGTCTGTTTATGTTTTGTTTTATCACCCTGGCAAACACTAGGTATTTTTTTTACCAGAAATCTTTATTAATTTGATAGGCAAACTACTCTGTTTCTTCCTTTCTAATGTAAATCCTCTCCCTTGGTTATCTTTTGGATTCCATTTCAACAAAATGCTCTTTCTCCCATTCTTTGCCTTGTTGATCTCCGAACCTTCTTTTTAATATTTTTATCTCATTTATTTTTTCTGTAATTCTCCTTTTTTAGCCTCACCTCACATTTTATTCTGTATTTAAGGTGAATAAAATATGCATAGCCCCTTATATGGTCTAACCTCCCTTTCCTAATTAAGCAAGTTCCCTTCTTCTAGTTGGTGGAATTTTTATTTCTTCTTAGACAGACAGATGATTTCAAAGCAGAGAGCTTTTGGAGAAGAATCATCCCATGGAGTGATGAAGACAAGACTGACCCAAAGTGGACTTCCTTCTTTAGATGCCTGGAAAAGTGATGAGTGGTTATGTAGGAACCGGAAGCACTGGGACATAAATTTGCCACAAGAAGCTTTCATTCCTAAGACAGCCTATACTGAGGAGGGAGACTTTCAATGTAGTGAAAATAAGAAAAATTTTGATGTTAAGTCAGTTAACTCAGTTTTTGATGCACAACAGGGAGTTCCTATGAGGAAGGGGTCCCCAAAGTGTAATAAGCTTAAAACTAACTTAAAATTTAATTTTGACTTAGTAGGTAAGCAACATTCAGAATATAATGAATGTGGGAATGCCTTGAGCCTGAGTACAGATATTCACCCAAAAAGTCAAAACACAATGAATTGCTATGAATGTTTTCAGTGTGGGAGAACCTTTAGCCGGAGTTCATCCCTCATTCGACATCAGACCATTCACACAGGAGAGAAACCCTATAAATGCAGTGAGTGTGGGAGATTCTTCAATCGACGAACAAACCTTATTAAGCATAAAAAAATTCATTCTGTAGTAAAGGCCTTCGAAGGAAATAAACGTGGAACAGCCTTCAGTAAGAGTGAAAACAGTAATAAAAATCCAAGTCTTCCTAGAGATAATGCCTATGAATGTGTTAACTGTGGAAAATCCTTCAGCAGGAGCTCCTCACTTATTCGACACCAAATGATTCATACAGGAGACAGACCATTTAAATGTAACAAATGTGAGAAAACCTTCAACAGGCACTCAAACCTTATTAAACACCAAAAATGTCATACTCGAGAGAAGTCCAATAACAAATAAATGTGGTATTACCTTCAGGCAGAGTGCAGAACTCATTCAACATCCATGAATTTATGCTGGAAGGAATCCTATGAAAATAGTAAATGGAAAAAGAAACTGTCAGAGATTATTATTGAATCGATAATGATGGAGTTAATATTGGAGGGAAATCTCTAATTGTATAGAAGTCTCAGGCTTCCCGATGAAACCACAGAGTTTNGAGATTATTATTGAATCGATAATGATGGAGTTAATATTGGAGGGAAATCTCTAATTGTATAGAAGTCTCAGGCTTCCCGATGAAACCACAGAGGGGGTTAAATATGTCATCATACAAGTGTTTGTCTATCATTATTGATGTTCATTACCATCATCTTTCTCTAACTCAAATAGGACCTATTCACCTGATCTATTGAGGAAGTCCATATTAGGGAGAAGCCAGGCAATACCCTTGAAGTTGATGTTTAATAAAACTCAAACTTGCAATTCTTATAAGGTCACAAGAAACCAGGAGCTCCTAAGAATATAGGAAGACATTTCTAAGGACTAAACTCTCTGAATTAATGGCAGACACCACAGTGACAGCCAGTTACTCCACCCCCATTAAACCCTCGGCTGTCCTGGTGCTCAGTGGGGACTACCATTGGGAAAGGATTACCAACTGCAATGGGAGGTGGATGTGTTGTTTTTAATCTATATGTATTCTTTAGGATATGCACTTTTTAAAGGACTCTTTGGAATCTAGGCTGGAGAGACATCCATAGCCCTAGGCCTATCATTTATCCTAAACATTTAAAGCTCAATAAAGTATCCTAATTCTCTGTGCACCAGAACTGCCTCTTTGTTCCATAAACTAGTTCAGGATCCAAAAAGGTTCTTGAGCTAAGAAGCTTATCTTAATCTGCCCAAAAAGATTCATACTGGAGATAGTCCCAATGAATGATGATGGTGGCTTTTTGTCAGAGTATACCTTGTTCAAAAGCAGAAATGTATATTGGAATAGACCCCTATGATGAGTTAATAAGTGTGGAAAATTATTCTATGTTCATTTTTCATCCTTTACGTCACAACATGAGTTGTACTAAGACAAAACTCTACACAAGTAATTGATATGGAAATTCATATAAACATAAGGCAACTTGTTAGAAGATCCTACCAAAAGAAAAACACAATGTAAGAAAGTCTTGAGGTATATAGTTCAGTCATTCATCAAAGCAATTACATATTGACTATAATAGATTCTGATGTTCTCATTTTAAGTATTCTAAATCTAATAGTTCACTATTTTTTATAAGCTGTGATTTTCTTTTGGGTGTTTGAAAGATAAAAATGCCATTTTTTTCTCAACAGCTAGCTCTTTGGGTCTAAGTAAAATGCTTTTTCCCCCCCTTCTAAATCTCTAAGCTTTCTAAAAAATAAAATATCTGTCTACTAAGTCAAACATACAGAGCTTCAAAGAATGCCTCTTTAGAGTGCATTTAAAATTTAATTGTTGCAGAACATATATAGCCAGTTAACATCTCCCAACCTTTTCCCATAAACCTACTACTTAATATATATTTGAATTTTACTGTATGCATTCAGGGGCAGATATCTAAGCTGAAACGTGAAGAAAGGGTAGAAACTGGCTAGACTGTGTGTGGTGGAGGGTGTGAGTGTTAGAGAGGAGAGATGATAAAGGAAAAACAAGTACAAAGCTACAGAGGGGTGAGAGCATGACCTCTCAAAACAAGTTCATGTGCTGGAATACGGCACTGGAAAATAATGGGGCAGGAATACATAGGGGTGAAGCTAGAGACTCAAAGGCCAGAAAGCCACCTTGGAAATTTGGGCTTTATTCTAAAGATAATGGAATAAAAGTCTTATCTCCACAAGGTAACAACTCTTGGAGACCTATTCAAAAATAAATATAAACTATGGAAAATTTTATTCAAAAATCCTGTGGTAATACTCTCAAAAATCTGGATGTGTGTGTGTATTTATCCATTTGAGTACAGTTTTACCAAGTATAGTAGACACTGACTGGACCAAAGCACTTATTTCATGAACACAACCTAGCAAAAACTAACACTTGGGGTATATTCACTAGTTGCCTGACAATCTGAGATGAGTACTGATTGGCATGTGCCCTACTGGGATACAACAGGAGAGCAAAGCGGGGCTTTTGTCCCCTGGCAGGTAAAACCAAAGATATCTGGCTTGATGATAATATGTGCACATCATAGAGGAAACCAAGTAGTAAGAAAAGGAAAGGAGATAGAATGATTGAGGAAAGAGGCTATCAGAAGACTAAGCTTCCAAGCACAAGAATTTTCTTTACGACTTCATGGACGGAAAAATAAAATACCTCAGTGGTTTGACTTCTGGATGAAAATATATAACTTTTTAGAATCAATGAAAATCTAAGTATTCTGCATCAGCTACTATTTATTTGGCTCTTTGATTCCAAACTAAGTAATATCACTATTTAGTGGATAGTAAGTGGAGACAGAAAGCTGACAGGACTACCTGAAGAATGTACATGACATGCTTGATGCTGTTTTCAAGTTTTATTTCCTGTTGGTTTCATTATAAACATAGTAATTGTTAAAATAGAGTTCTACAGTTTAAAGAGGAAGGGAATTTTTCAGTGAGGTTTCTCTTTCTGTGAATCAGTTTTCATATAAAAGCAACTGAAAATATTTCTGAATGGGACACCTGTAAACATTTTAATGGATTATTAGCTCTTAGACCCCAAGATTCTAAAGAAAAATTCTCGCAATGTATGTGGAATCATTTGAAGATGTGTGACGTCACGGCGATGCTGTCTTTCCAACATCCATCCCTTAAACACTTAGAGCATGCCAACGATGCGCTAGAGCCGGGGCACTGCGGGAGCTGGTCATACCCGACCCTTACGCGGGTGCCAGGTGCCGGGCCAATGTGGAGGCGCGGGCCTCCCGGGGCGGAGCTGGCCCGGCGCGGGGCGAGATACCCGGGACGGCTGTGAAGCTACTTTGGGGATGCGCCTAAGCCCGGGCTGTGGGCCCCCCTCCTCCGTGCGCCCTCCTGCGGGAGGGCGGAACCCCGCGCAGGCGAGGGGAGAGCCGAGGGGCGGTCCCTCCCGCAGTCAGGCGGTCTAGGAGATCTTCGCGGTGCGCGTCTACCGGTCGCATCTTCGGCCCGTTATAGAGAGTAAAGCAAGTCTAACCGTCTGCTCGCCCGCGGGCCCCTCAGCCTGAGGCGGCTGCGAGGCTGGGTGGCTGGAGAGCCTGCCTCGGCGCGGTACTCGAGCCCGTCCCTCGGGAACCCGCACACCGGGTCCCGGGAGCGCACCCCGGCTGGGCAGCACCTCCCACAGGGCCGGG